TACTTTTAATCAACAAGTAATTTGAAGAAACAAGCGTATACGTTTTAGCGGAAGCTTACATTTTCGGATAATAACTTAAATAATACTTCAAATACTTTAAACAAAAACACTAAATCATTTTTCAAAACAACAAAATGTAATTTATTTGAAAAAAAATATAACTTGTTCTCGCATTCTGCGCTATTCAAAATTTTAAAGAAATAACATTGGAAAATATTTCATAAAAATAAATCCAAATCACTTATTCACCGGATTTCCATGGGCTCGTTGCATCACTCTCCATCTTCTCCTCCATCCATGCCCGAGGTAGAATTCCTTCAATCTGTAGAGATCGGATTAAACCCGTGAGTTGAAAAATTCAATAGGTGTCATGGTGCATTCGTGATCAAGCTATACATTTCAAAACATTAACTTTATAACTTTTCATACATGCCGTACCCGGAGGCACCATTTGACATGAAGGGGTATGCCGTACCCAAGGGCACCATTTGACATACGAATATTTCTTCAACATAGAGAGATATGCCATACCGGAGTACCGTTTGACATACAACCATTAACATAGAAGGATATGTCGTATCGGATTACCGTTTAAAAAATACGCTATTTTACTTAAAAGAGATTTTACAACCCAAGAAGCGCGCTTATAACATTTGAAGAAGGCTCCAAAAGTCGTCCAAACACACGTGTAATCTTTACAAATGAAGCAAAACTAAGATTTGGGTTTAGACATTATTACACGTGCCCACTTATTTGTCACATTGTCACTAGTTATATGAAGTAAATCACAAACTGTTAGGTGTTGTCCCATAGCTTGATTTGTTTAATCATTCTTTCAGTGACAAGCACATGCACTAAAAATCAGCAAGTGCAATGTCTACCTAAATCATGCCAACATAGATAAGTAAAACTTTTGTTTTTTCTAAATAAGTTATTGTCACTTGAAAAAAACTAAATAATTATTTGTAATTAGAAAAATTTAATGATAAACAATACAATTTTTTTGTCATCTTATTTGTAGCAAGTTTTGCAATGCTTTTTTTGGAAGAAAATTATATATATTTTCTAATTAAATAGCAAGTTCCAGTTATTTATACGTCTTTTTATTAAATAGTGACAAAGAGTAATGAATAGTCCATATATTTCGAGAGTATTAAATCTTTTCCCATTTTTGAATGTGTATGCTTTCACTTGATGCTTTGAAAATTCGAAAAGACGATCCTCAAAGTGGGACCAGACATGTAATTAATTGCGTTTAATGTTATGCAACAAACATGCTTTCTTGAATGGATATGCGTTTACACACTACTCTGAGAGACCAATAAAAATAGCTTTAAAAAAGTATGCAGCGAAACACGCTTTTCTAGATAGGCATGCGCTTGTACGCTCCTATGAAAATGTTAGAAAGAAAAAGCTGGCTTTCAAGCAGGACAAAAAATGCAGTTAATTGTATTTAATGTTATGTATTAAACTTGCTTTTCTAGATAGGAATGCGTTTGCAAGCTGATCTAAAAAGTTAGAAAAACTATCTTCCAAGTGGGACTAAACGTATAGTAAATCACGTTTAATGTTACGAAATAAACATATTTATCTTAATTTAATATAACATAATAATATACTCTATGGTATGATTACAAAAATACCATTCAAAATTTTGGTCTATTTGCATTGTAATTATCTTCTTAGTAAAAATCGATTTTAAACAAAAAAAATAAAAAAAGGAAAAGGAAAAGGTAAAGATTCCACTAAAATTATCAGTGTAATGAAATTTAGAAACTAAAGATCAAAATTTCTTGCCTTAATACTTGAAAATCAAGTCATTACATAGTTAATAGAACATAATTACTTTGGACAGTTAGTTAATATATTATTTTCTTACTTTGATGCTTTATTTTATTTTTTTTTATTTTTATAGTAACATAAATTTCTGTGGGCTGTGGGCAGTTCGATAAGTATCATTTTCCTACTTTTTATTCATATTTCATGGTGATTTTTTTTTTTTTTCTAAATTATAACTCATTCCCCAATTTTTGTGTTTTTATACAAATTCATTTTAAGTTAATCTTTTTCCAGAATATTCAGCCAAAATTCTGATAATTCTCTGATCACAAAATTAACTACGCAGTAATTACCTGCTTCGCGAAACGCATTTCGCCCTTTCTTTTAAAATTAAAGTCAACGCCTTTCTACGGTGCCAATGCAATTGGGCCCCACTGCCAATTAATTTTGGCTCTTCGATTTACTCGATGCCAGCTGCATTACTTAGAAATCTAACGGCTGTCAATAATCTGCAGGATATTGTTATATATACATCAAACTTTATATAATGGATTTACATGTCACTATATTATTTGTCAGTTTAAAATAAGGTTAATTTTTTTATCTAATCTTTTCTCTCCATATTATTTTATGTAATCTCTTATGTACTATTTTTATGTACAAGTAGTATAATTATAATAAGAACGAGTAATTTATAGGCTGGTGAGAATAGGATAATTCGTGTAAAAGAAGAACAAATAATCTGGTGCGAAACCATGTAAGGAATAACAAAATCAAACCATTGGAGATCTGCCACGTCTGGATTTGGTGAACCCAGAATACCAAAAGACTAAACAATTTGAATTAAAATTTCAAATTAATTGTTCCAATGGTCACTGAACTTAAGCCATGTTTTCAATTGGTCACTAAAATTTAAAATGTCGAGTTTTGATCACTAAACTTAGGTCCATATCTTCAATTACTCACCGAAATTTAAAATATCGAATTTTGACTATTGAACATTTAAAAATGCCGTACATCAATCACTAATATAAATATTGAATTTTGAAAAATATCGAATTTATAGTGAGTAGTGTACAATATTTTTCAAAATTTAGTGGTTAAAACTCGACATTTTATATTTCAGTGAGTAATCGAAGACATGAACCTAAATCGGTGACCAAAACTCAATATTTTAAATTTCAATAACCAATCAAAGATATAGACCTAAGTTCAGTGACCATTAGAACAATTAAGCCCCACTTTTTTTCCCATTAAAATGAAAAATATGATCGTTATTTATCATATCAAATCATCATATTTGAATTTCTATATCGTATTTGAGACTCGTAATGATTATGTTTTTAATAAAATTTTAATGCGTTTTACTATAAGTTTACAGCAATATAAAATACACCTAAGGTAATAAAAAAGAGAATTGTACAGTTACAAAAATTTTGCAGCTCTTTCTTTACATTCTTTGTTTTGGGCTCTGTTTCTCTTTCTAGGTGAGGAGCAAGAGAGAGAGAGACGCGCACGATCTATATTTAGACACAAATATATCTACATATATACATGATACAGTCACATACACATATATAATTATATGTTTTTTTCCATATAGAGAGAGAAGGGATGGGGTGTTTTCGTTGTTCTGGAGAATCATCAATTAAGAAACCAGAGAAGTTGAGGAAAAACATTGACTATAATCCCCACAAAAGAGCCGATCATGCATCGCCAAATAGAGGTAGTAAATTTTGTTGAAGATAAAATTGATTTTTTTAACGGGCATTCCTGAATTTTCATTGTGGGTTTATAATAATATTTTTTCTGTTCTATAAAACTGTTTGTAATTTTTTTTTTTAAATTTAATTTTCTCGATTGAATAGGTTTTGTTGATATGCATGTGCATCTGTACCATGGCTGTGAGGGATTTAATTTTTTCATGCATGTATTGTTTTCCTGTTTCATTTGTTGTTTTGATTTGATCTTACGCGAAATGCAAAAACCGAAGATGTTTTATCTTGTGTTTTTGAATTTTTGTCACAGTTTTTTGGCAAAATTGGTGTTAGTGGATATGATTAGAGATGTGCAGTAAAATATATTTAGTTGTATTATTCTTTTTTTTTTTTTTATGCAAATTTTTTTTTTTTTTTTTTTTTTTTTTTTTTTTTTTTTTTTTTTTTTTTTTTTTTTTTTTTTTTTTTTTTTTTTAGTTTTTTTTTTTTTTTTTTTTTTTTTTTTTTTTTACCCGTTAGAAGTTTAGCGTATGTTCTATTGATGAGAATCAATTTGGAATAAATATTAGTCTGTCTGGTTTAAGGGTTCGGGCTGTACTAAAGAAGGAAAAAGAAGCTAAATTATGCATAGAAAGTGCTCTTTACATATTTTTATCTTTATTGTTACAATGGGCCATCACTCTTATATTTCTGATCAGATGCGTCAAAAGTGAGTACGGCTAAAGGTGCGAAGGAAGAGACTGAGGTCCTAAACCAACGTGCCGGGGAAAGGAAGATGGGTGCTAGTAAGAGCCCTTCTAGTGATGGAGAGACAAATAGTGTCAAAGCACGAACCTTTACGTATGCTGAATTACTGGCTGCGATGCAGAATTTCAAGGCAGAAAACTTTTTGGGCGAGGGCGGTTTTGGAAAAGTTTATAAAGGTCATTTGCAGGAGACTGACGAGGTCAGTTACATTGATTTAATTGTTTAATTTCAATAATCACTCTGAATAATGTTTAAGGATCAGAATGAGATGTTTGATTTATAATTTTGTGGCCGAAGATTTGAACTTTGATGTTGCTTTCATGTAGATTGTAGCTATAAAGCAACTTGATCGCAATGGATGCCAGGGGATTCGGGAATTTGTAGTAGAAGTTTTGACATTGAATATGGCCAACCACCCTAATCTTGTTAAATTGATTGGTTATTGTGCTGAAGGAGATCAGAGGCTGTTAGTCTATGAGTTCATGCAGCTAGGTTCATTGGAGGACCATTTGCACGGTATATTTCGGGCATGAATTTTGTTCTGTACTTCGTTACACTCTATACATTATTCTCCTGTACTTCTCTTTCCTGCATTCTATTAAAACTTTGTCTGTTTCCTTGCTTTGCTTTTTTTTTTTTTTCTGGACAGACCATCGTCCAAATACAAAACGGCTCGATTGGAATACTAGAATGAGGATTGCTGCTGGTGCTGCAAAAGGCTTGGAGTATTTGCATGACAAGATGAAACCACCTGTTATATATCGTGATCTGAAATGCTCCAACATTTTGCTTGGGGAAGGATATTATCCGAAACTGTCTGATTTTGGATTGGCAAAAGTGGGCCCATCAGGAGATCAGACGCATGTCTCCACCAGAGTGATGGGCACATATGGATATTGTGCACCTGAATACGCAATGACTGGCCAACTGACTTTCAAGTCCGACATTTACAGTTTTGGTGTTGTTCTTCTGGAGATCATTACGGGGAGGAAAGCTATCGACAATCGAAAAACTGGTGCAGAGCAATATCTTGTTGCATGGGTGAGTTATATTTATTTTCTAATCTTGAAGGTTAATTTTCTTTTCAGTTGATCGTACATTCTGATTGCTTATTAAATCGAAATTGTGTATTCTGATATCTAGGATGAATAGTGTAAAGGCTCATTGCCGAAGAAATTAATGTGAACTTTTGAGTCAACTTTTTGTTGTGACACTTGAAAGGGGCATTGCATTTTCGGCCATCCAAAATGGTTCTATCTATGTGGTAGCCATAGTTGATTTACACGGGTCCACATGTAAAGTATTCAATCTGGGCTATTCTTTTGTGGTCGATCACCTTTCCAATTTCCTTCATTCTTTTTCTTTCTATTTCTTTCTGGTTGTAATCACATGCTATAGAAAATAAGTGAATAATGTCTTTGATGTTGATTGCTTGGTTGAGCAACAGATAGCTTCAAAATTACGAGTCCTAGTTACCCTTCGCGATAGAGTCGTAGGAGGTTTGGAATTATCGAAAGTGGGCAGGTATTATGCACTTGTTCCCCCAAGTCATGGACCCTCAAAAGTTGTCAAAATGTGTAATGGCCATTGTTTAACATAGAGGACTTTCAACTGATGCATAGCTTTTTATTTGGTATTTAAAAGATTTCTCGAGTAACGAAATAGTCGAATATCAGTGTCGATTACCTATTGTTCTACTGTAGTCAACGAATACGTCATCTGAGTGTGGACACATTTTACATTTTCTGTACATGCATGGCTTGCCATCGTTGAATTCAATTATCATCTTTGATTTAAAATAGCAAAGTTATTGATTTCATCCATAAACGTTGATGGGGGAGTAAGAAGTTCTTGAGAAGCCTGATTCTATGGCCATTGTTAACATCGTATTCTCAACTGTAGTCTATTACCTCTGAAACTGACTACTTTGACGCAATCCATTCTTTTGTTTTCCAGGCTCGACCATTTTTCAAGGACCGGAAAAAATTCTACAAAATGGCTGATCCAGCACTGGAAGGCCAATATCCCGTAAGAGGCTTATACCAGGCTCTCGCAATTGCTGCAATGTGTGTGCAGGAAGAACCCAACATGCGGCCCCTCATTGCAGACGTCGTTTCAGCACTGAATTACCTTGCGTCCCAGACATATGATCCTAGTAGAGTGAAAGGAGATGGAGAACCGAAATCTCCCCGAGCTACAGGTCTGATTTAAGCAGTTTGCTGTCCTCCCGGTTATCAGTTTTCTCTTCCCTTGGTAACTGGTGCTTGCTACATAGGATTAGGTCGTTTGTCCTACCCCGGTCCACCCTCTATTTAAATGTGAATACGAGGTAATGTATGTAACATTCCTTGATTCGAAGAACAAAGTAAAATAAAAAAGGGTGCTTTACAAGTTGTTGGCCATTGATAGAAATACAGTTGATGCATGATACATTATTGCATCTGTTATATAAATGGCTTCTCATTAGTGTACTATACTGAGTTATAAAACCAAATTATAGAGCTTTCGTATTTTCGAAGCATTCTCGTCTCTATTAAGCATTGCAGGCTAGATTTTGATAATTCAATTTCCAATAATTGTGCTAGTCCTGGGAAAATGGAGATATTAAGTGTGTTTGGTTTATCATTTTGATTTCATTTTCAGTTTTTGAAAATACTCAAAACGTGTTTTGTATGTTATTTTCAAAAATGCAATTTTGAAAACAACGAAAATTTTATAAAACACAAAACTCAAAACGAAAAATTCAAAACAAGGAAAATGAGCTTAAAAATTTCCTAAATTAGAATAATTAATAAAATCACACAAAACTTACTCAAATACAAATACCCTTCTCTTTTCTCATGTTCCTCCAAAACGTCATAAAATTATTTCTAAAGTTTATAAATCAAACGCGTTTTCTTATTTTTTGTCTTGAGAAACAATTTCTTAAAATGACAAACCAAATTTTTTTGTGTAACCCTAAAAATAATCACTCAAAACATAAAATAGAAAATAAATTCAAAATTGAAAATAGAAAACATAAACGCAAACGCAAACCAAACGTACCCTAACTCTCTGTTTGGTCCTCATTTTCTCGAATTTATTTTTAATCATATATTTAATGGGACTTACAACTTTTATCAACTTTTTAATGACACATTTCATTAACTTTTATCAAATCTAACAATTTTTTTTTTCATCAAAACCAAATAGGGGCTATATAAACAGAGAATTGTAACAAATTGAAAAATAAAAGGGGGAAAACCGGGTGGAAAGCAAAATTGTGTTCCAGAAAATAAGCACATAACTCAAGAAAGCTTTCCGCCTAATGTTAACAGATTTAACTAACATACAAAATAGACACTCCAAGGCTTTAACTGAATCAAACTTCTCTCTAAAATGCAGAGGCAAACTCTCTCAACCCCAAGAAGAAAATTTAAAGAAAACCCAGAACTTCCCCTCTACAACTAGCGTTCTGAAAATCCCAGGAGGGAGATTTCAGGTCCGACAGTTAGCTCATCTGATCCACTTGAAAAAAAAGGCATATTTCTCCCAGTTGTAAATCTGATTTATAGATTCTTTTTGAGGTTGATACTGTGTGCAGAGGAAACGAAAATGATGACTCTTAGACAATGACATTTGTGAATTGATTCTACGTCTCTATGTGGCTTCAATGGTATATAATTTCTGTAGTCTTCTGTGATGATTCTGTGAAGAAACATCTATCGGCAGCTTAGCTTCCATGCTGCCCGAGAATTCCAGGGGCAAACACGAAGGAGTGACAAAATATGTCTAAACATGGCTTTTAAACCGTCCAAATCATAGCAACGTTCAAGTTGACCAATGGTCGAAGCTTAGTGACCTCCAATGTCTTAAACAGCGTCTGATTTTCATTATACTTAGTAGAGCTCGTGTAGAACAAGAAGGGGTCCTGTCTGTTGTGCCTAATCACTGTCTCAGTGTACTCTTCTATTAGGATTACTTGTATGAAAATGTGCACCAACAGTGATAAGTAAAACAACATATGACTGTTAACTGTTTCGTACTCTTATGAATTAAGATGTAGGAATTCTAGCAAAGCAAAGGACACGCTTTTGATTCTGGTATGTTATGTGTTGAACCACTTCACATAGAAGTTTATATGATTAGAGAAAGGACATATTAATATTCGTCATATCCTTAAATTTTAGTCAAATTTATTTTTTATCAAAGGTCAATATATGCACAATTTTCATAAACAGTGGCAACTAGATTCGGATTCTTGAACTTCACTTAGGCCAAATTGAAAATATGATGTGAGACAGTGAGAGTGAGATAAGATGGTCTCAGCAACTCTCGTGCCATGGCCTATCACGTGACAAGACAAGACGATCAACAAGGAAAATAATTAGGGTCTTTGTTGGATCGAATTGTTCAATGTACCTTAATGTTCAACCATAATATATTAAGATTTGAGGTTTCACATTAAATGATCAATGTTGTTAACAAGAGTATCCTAAACCCTTATATGTGGTGTATTTATTTCAGTATACTCGTTGCGGGATTTACCTTTAGCAAAAAGTTAGGCTGCGTTACATATATTATGCCTTATTGTATCAAGTGTTGGACTCTTTAAAGGAGAAAGTATTCTTATTATGACAATCACAGAAATAAAGATAAGTGACCATTCTAGAATACACACAAGTTAACAAGTGGAGCTGATCCGGCGAAGACAAATTGAGATGTGTCTTGTGCAAATGTAAAAAACTTTGTTTCACGCTTCTTGACCATGGTAATCCTGTTCATAACCTCCCAACTGTCATCTTTCTGGGCCACGGAATCAGATTTTGGGGTATCTGACCATGAGGGTTCAAGTGTCATCATCAGGGTAGTGGAGAAAGAAGGTTTGTTCCTTGAGTACAAGACATAGTAGTCGAGTTTTCCTGAGGCTTCTCCAAGGAGATCGACCTCTGGGTCACCTGCTTCATATTCAACTTTCGCAGTTATGTACCCATCTTTACTATTTTCACAAATAAATATTTCATAGTAGCATCATTAGACTGCATAGGCCTAACATTGAGACGAGTAACATGGCCCAGACTCCCCTCTTGCCGTATGGGCTCTTCACTCTGCCAGATTAACAAAACATACATTTCCAATGTTGTGTTTATTAGTAGGAAAAATTATTTGCTCAAAGGAATTGTTCATAAAAATCCATGCCTCTGCCACTTCTAAATGCTTCATCTGTTGCATGCTATGTAATTTTATCCTTAAACTCCAGTCTGTAAAATATCTAATAGACATATTTCGCATAGAGAATTAAAGGACAACATTAGTGTAGAATTTCATGTTGTTTAGGAAAAAAAATGTCGTGTGTTATATAAGTAAGATTCGTGTAAATTACTATTGACACCATTTACACATAGAAGTAAAACAGGAATAGGTCATCACATGGTTCAAAACCTAACGATATCATGTAATTTTCGTACTACAATGTAGTATTTTAGCCGAAAGTATTTCAATGAGGGTGCTAGAGGTGGCTAAGAAGGCATATCTTTTGCAAATTACTATCAAGGTTTTTTTACATGGAAGCAAAATAAGGGCATGTTAACTCGGAGAATATCGGATAAATTCTTACTCATTTTACTGTCAGCATACAAATGTGCACGAAACCTTAAGTGTTAAACCCTAGGTCCAATCAATGTTGGACATAAATACTTTTAATATATAATTAATGTAATTTGATGACAGATCTATTATTTAATTAATAGACAATTAAATTAAATAATAGAGTCTGTAGATTCAAATCTTCGTAATTTGTTAATTCTAAGTAGTTGTGATTATAAGATACAAATTGCATATGATTGAATCTTAAATCGTCTGTAGTCGTAAGTAAGAACAAGATACGGATATCGTTATTACAGATAGATCATCACGTATGACATTTCTTACTTGTGAAGTAAGTAGTTGATCTCACCACTAAAGTGTGGTGACACTTAAATGAACACGTGAATATTTTGTTAGAGAATAAAACAATAGAGACCTGTCGAGAGATTTCACATGGATAACTATCTGAATATCAGTAGTTAATCTTTAACGTTCAGTAGTGGGATTTGTTCTTTGACTTGAGGTCGTCATAGTACCTTTTATGATGACAGTCATACTTTGACGGTATTGGATGTTGTTCTGCCAATGACTACTAATATGGTATCGTTCGCGTATGTCAAGAATCGTATGAAGGTTATGAATGACCAATAGATGATTCGTCACTTTAAGATTGTAAGAGATTATGAATTGCATTTCATTCAATTAAGTCGATAACGAAATCCTTGGCCAAGATATACACATAAGTCGAAAATGAGTTTTCGACTTATATTGACTTAATAGTGGAGTGAATGATATGATTGATAATCGAAATTGACACACTTTCATAACTCGTAATTGATCGAATCATATTGACGAAGGGATTATAGCCTCACGATAAACGAACGAGTTTGATTTTGTCATACCACGTGACATTTTCGTCACATGTATTGCCATAACACATTGCTAGATGTCAATCTGGGATGATGAGTGTGAATTAGTGATAAATTAAAAGGGCGTTTTAAATTATCAATAATATTTCATGTCGTTAGACATGATGATCGAGAACCTGATGGGTCGCACACAAAAGGAGAACTGTGAGATTATGATTTATCAATTAATTAATTTAAAAATCGTTGGATAAATTAATTAATTGTGTTGCTTATTTATATGCCCGAATTAATTAATTAGATTAATTAATTTATGGATCGAATTTAATTAAATGAGTTAATTAAATATTGGATCGGGTTAAGCCAAGCCCATTTGGGCTTATATAAATAAGTGATTAGGGTTTACAATTTTGTAGAGATTTCATTATTTCTCTTGCTAGCACAAGAAGAAAATCCTAATCGTACAACTTTATTCTCTGTGTGGATCACCGTTGGAAGCTGGACAATTGGACAACTGAGGGTGGCGAATCAAGGTCGTTGGAATGAAAAATAGCAAAGGAGATTACAAATATGAAAAAAGGTACAATCTCTATCACAGTTTCTTTCTAAACACAAAGATGAATCCTAGTGGAAGTTGAAAATTGTTTTAATTTTCGCTACGCATGTTTAAGTAGATTTCCAACAAAGCCCACATTGGCTAAAATCGGTGGATGGAAAATGTAACGCCCCGACCCCTAATGGACCGGAACGCTACTTACTTTACTTAGCTTAACTGGTGATTTAGTAACAACCGTATACGTTTTAGCGGAAGCTTACGTCTTCGGATAATAACTTAAATAACAATACTTCAAATACTTGAAACAAAAACACTAAATCATTTTTCAAAACAACAAAATGTAATTTATTTGAAAAAAATATAACTTGTTCTTGCATTCTGCGTTATTCAAAACTTTAAAAAAATAACATTGGAAATCATTTCATAAAAATAAATCCAAATCACTTATTCACTGGATTTCCATGGGCTCGTTGCATCACTCTCCATCTTCTCCTCCATCCATGCC